ATATATATATATAATCTTTAGTACTATTATAAAGACAAAAAAAAGAAGCAGATCTTTCTCTGTTTACCTTTATTAACATTAAGTTTACTGACAAGAGCTGAACCAAAAATTCTTGCAAGTCTGTAAACTTCCATATATTTTTTGAAACGATATGGCCCGTCTTTGGAAACTCGAGAACCAATACAGTCACCATTATTGCTATTCTTAAAAAAGATGCTTTTGATTCTTTCTCTTCTTTGTAAAATTTTGCAAACACAGTCAAAAATTTTTGTAGGAAAAGTCAACAAAATTGAAATTCTGTTTTGTTTATTACATTTGGTGCTTCTTTGCAAATTTTGCCAGCAAACAACAGTTGATTGAACAAAAAAGATAGAAGTCAAAAAATTCAATTTAATACCAGTTTATTTACCTCTAAACCTCTCATGAAGACATCGTACAAAGTCATTAGTTCAGGTAAGGCTCGTTCTGCAGTCTCTTCACCATTTTGCAGCAGACCGCTACGATATACTCCTTTATCGTTCTGAAACAGAACTGTATACTAAATTTATGCGAAAACGTTTTGATGTAACAATGCTTTTGGTATCTTTCTTTGTGTTCGAACATCAACTTGTTTAGGATTTACCTGACGTTATCTTCAGCTTGTATTGTAAATATATCTGAACATCTAGAAAAAAAAAGAACAAAAAGACAATTTTCAAATGCTTTTTTGATTTCTCAGTAATTATTAATTTAGCTTTTAGAAGCATTAATCAGTGATGCTTTCAAAAGCGTATTTTGACCCTCTGTTTTGATCACGCCACTATTAATGTGGCCATAAAAATTTTAATGTTGATAATAAAAACATGCGTTTGTAGTAATTGTTATTCAAACATATCGATAGTTTGTTAACTGAACTAAAAAAAGTAGAAATTGATGCAGTTTTGGTTTTAGACAAGTCAATGGTTTTGTATGACTGTATCTCAACAAAGTTTTTGCTTGTCAAACAGCATTGAATTTACTGCCAATAAGAGTTCATATAAATTCTAATAGATAATCAAAAAGTTAACAATTAAAATAGAAAAATTTTTAGGGAAACAGTGTTTTTTGGGCAAAATTTGTCATCGTTTAACATAAACAGTTATAATGCATATATTGATAAGGTTTTGTCTTTTCTTTTCTTCATCTAAAAATATTTGTTTGGTTAAAAAATGATAGTCATTAAGTTGTTAGCAATAATGACAGTATCTTCAGAACCTTTTCTGTAAGCAAGTTGGCAAAAAATAAATTTTTGCTGTTTTATTTGTAGCTTTGAAGCCAATTTTTTACTTTCAATAAATGTCAAAAAAGAAATATTTTTATATCACCACAAAACGTGACATAAAAGCTGAAAGAAAAAGATAACAGCTAATAATAATTGTTCTTTTTTTTTTTTTTGATCGCTATTCTTTGAGAAGCGCTACTGATGTTAATTTTTAGACAGAAAAAGAACAAATTAGTCTTGCTATTTTCTGATTAAGAAAAGATATTATTTGAGACATTTTAAGTGATAAATTTAGTCGACAGTACTAAAGCAACTGAAGACAGTTGTCAGATAGTGATTTTTTGCTGAAAATAGGAGCTTTTAGAACTTCTACTAGAATAAAGACGTTGAAAAAAAAATAAGTTTGAAAACGAAGAGCAGATAAGTTTCTAATTTACTCTTAAGCAAAGAATACACCTAACAAGTTATGAAGACTTCTTCTTCTAAAATACTTGGATAAATGTTTTCAAAAGCTTCAAAGATATACTGCTTTAATTATCATTTTCACTCTTATGATTTGCAAGACTGTACTGCGCATTTTTCAAAAGCTATCATAAAACATTTTCAAGTTTAAGTTCAGTGATTTACAACAGTGTTATGAAGATGTTTTGACAATTTTCAGGGAACTGTTAAAGGTTTGAACCCCAGTTTTATTCTAGCGTTCAGGTTTCAGAACAAATAGGGAACAAATTGTATCAATTGAATGACACTAGCGCAATATGAACTTCAACTGTAAGCAGCAACTCAAACAGAAATCGTGCTCTTTCAATATAATTAAAGAGTTTTTAATAAACTTGGTAGGTCTGCAAACGAATAGGGTCTAAAACAATTAATCGAACGTTTGCTAAACTTTGCAAAAAAAAAAAAACATTAGATATTTAGCTATTGATATGCTAAATTTCGGTCACAGCAGTTCTTGAAAAGTTGTGGCTGGAATTTGACATATTGTAATTGAATGTTTAAATTTTTTTTTATTATAATAATAAGTTGCTTTAAGAAAAAACTAATTAAAAGAAGCAGTTGTTTTCAAATAGTTTCTTATTTACAAGACAATTTCTCTTTATAGTTTTTGGCAATAAGGAAATGCAACAAAGAGTTGAATGTTGATTATTAAATTTTAATACTCCTCATCTAAATGATTTAAATGTTGGCAACGAAAAATTGTATTATTGCTGAGAAGGAAAAAAAAAAACGAGATATAAACAAAAAGCTAACCTTTAACTCAATAGCTTGTTTTTCAATATTTAAAGATTTGTTTTGGAATCGAAAACTTTCTCTTGCTCGCCACATCAGTGTAAGCCAGTAGAAGATGTAACCAGAAAAAGTGACAATAACTGTCCAGGGCAAAAGGACCCACATAATTGCCTAAGCAGACCTTTTATTGACAATTACAGCAGTTATTTGTTCTTGACACTCAGTAATTTTTGTATATTAATAAGCGCTTAAAGGTGTCCCGATCAGCTCTCTGATAAAATGCTCTGACAAATTTGGTAAGCGGAAGTTGGTCAAAGCAACAAAATATCAACATTTATGCCGTTATCAATTTGTATCTGATTGTGTTTTGTCGTTAAACGTCATCTGGAAAACAGAACTGTTCTCTGAAGACTGTCCATTTATTTCCTGATTTTTTTGACCACTTAATACTGTATTAGCTGCAAAAATATAACAGTTTTCTTGGAAAAAAGCTTTACACACCTGATATTTAAAAAAAGATTTTTTTTTTTTATTTTATACAGTTAAATATAGGTTACTAATCAACTTGTATTATAAAAGCTGATTAAATAGTTGAAAGAAAAAAGGCCAAAAAAAAAGGCATTAAAAATCAAATAGATAAAGCATCAATTACAATATTAAAAAAAAAAAAATACAGAATAAAACCGTTAATTTTTTTTTTTGTATTTTTTTTTTCATAATTGAATATTTCAAAATGAAGGAAACAAAGGCTAACAAAATAAAGTGCTTAGTAAAGTTATTTATATATATATTTTTTTTTTGGTGTAAATATTTCCGTCAGTTACAATCACTATTAACTTTTAGTTACAAAAAAAAA